ACTCACTAAACAGACACCTGACAAACTTTTAGTTCGTTCCCACATCAATGTCATGAGGACAGGGGAGGCCCAGCTTAAAGAACAATTGCAATTATTTCTTGTGAAAGTTTGGTTTCTTTTTAGGACCAAAGATCAGTCATTCAGAGGTGAAACAAAGGAGCTGATGTCCAGGACAAGCAGCAGACAGTGTGGTGACACATGCCTCCAATCTCAGTATAGTATGGTCTCAGAGAGGACGGTTGAGAGCTGAAGGCCAGACAGGGTTATATGGCAAGACATTGTCTCAAAACCAAAACAAAAGCCAGTGTTAATCGCAATGTCCAGTTATTCAAAGTATACGCATGATAATTTGTTACCTTGTACAATCCACGCACACCTTCGTATTTGTATATTTTCACAAGTGCATCAAACATCCCTTTATACTGTCTCTGCGAGGGGTTAACAACACCACCATACTGTAACATAAGGCGAGTTTTCGTCACCCACAGTGGGTTTGTGATGCAGAGAGTCATGGCTCCTAAAATCATATTTAAAGATTCATTAGCATACAGGTACTGTTTCACTTAATCCAAATTAAGAATAGTTCATTAGAAAAGAACATGTTTTTCAACAGTGTGCACATAGCATAAAGAAGGCCCACTCGATCAAGAATAGGGGTAAAGTCAGGTGTGGGGGGCGCACGCCTTTAACCCCAGCACTCAGGAGGCAGAGGCAGGTGGATATCTGTGAGTTCAAGGCCAGCCTGGTCTACATGGTGAGTTCCAGGACAACCGGGTTACAAAGTAAATCCCTGTCCTAAAAACAAAACAACAACGCTGTCCCCCTCCCCCCCTGCATGAGCAGGGCATTAAATTTAATTAAGAAAACGAGGGCACTGATATTCCAGTCAATTGCGCATGGGTATTCTAATAGAATAAGACTTGAAGTGGCTGCATCCAGGACAGTGAGATGTGGTCTCTGTCATATCACCCAAAGTCAAAAGGAAAACTTAAGTTTTTGGTGGCCAAAAACTTTTGGTGAGAGGTCAATTAAATGATAGAACGTCAAACAGTTTCCTTGCAAGGACAGAGGAAAGCTATCCAGACTCCTAAACAAAGTGCCCAGGGTAGAGGCTAGACATTAGATGCACATAAAAGAGGGGTGAACCAGGAAGTGTGGCTGGTGACGCGCACAAGTATGTCCCATGACCCACCCCGACCTTCCTCAGATCCTTCCAAAGGCCCCGCCCCTAACAGTCTAATAAGGCACACTTCATAGTCTTTACAGAAGTGATCGTTTGGAGGCCAGCCTGGGCATATTATATGCGAGTCTACCTAAGAAACCAACCAACCCCCTGCCCCACCAAAAAACATATCTGGTCACGTTGCTCATTTGTTGAGTGTCCTGAGGAGTTTTGTCTGTTTGTTTGTTTTTTTTTTTTTAGTAAATCAATATCATATTCTATCATGACTTAGGTCTCTGCATGTGGCTAAGTATTCAAAAGTAGACAGTTCTTGCTTTAATAGAACACTTGGTAGACACGAGGAAACCAAGGTATGCAAGGGATAAAACAGGCTTTATGGACACTCATGGTTCACACTGGCTTTCCTTGACGGCACACATACAGGAGCAAGAGAATAACGTTACTGAGTTACATGATAATAAAACGCCATATCCAAATCATGTCTCAAGAATAATTAAAAAAGAATTATGTTGTGTCTATGAGTGTTGTCCACACATGAATGTATATACGTCGTGTGTTTAGTGCCCTCAGAGGCCAGAACACGGTGTTGGATCCCCTGGAACTGGAGCTACAGATGGCTCAGACACCGTGTGGGTGCTGGGACTCAGAGGCTGGTCCTCTGTAGAGCAGCCAATGTTCTTAGGCACTAAGCCATCTCTCTAGCCACATCCAAATATCTTAGCCTAGAGATTCCTAACTTAACAAGATTAGACGAACACATTTAAACCCCTAGTGTTTAATTGGGGAGGGGCGGATTGAAAAAGAGAGAGAAAGAAAAATCAAGCCTGGAGGCAGAAAGTCACAAGCCCAACCTGGACCACAGAGGGCGAC